CAGACAATGGATTTTTACTCAGTGTGCAGCTTCATAGGTCATTTACATTCCCTCACTCAGGTCTTAAATTCTCAAAGATTATTTCCCTGTGGTTTCCCATTCCCCTACACTTGGGGTTCTGGGTGTTATCTCAGTGGGGAGAGGGAGGAAAAGATTGGGGTGAACACCACAGGACTGAAGCCTCACACCTTGGCACTTTCTACAGGCCTGAAGTATGCCTCCTGCTGGTTTGAAAATGTTTACCAGAGCTCTGCTAGAGTGGGCTCTGATGAATTTGAGCCCTGCACTCATCCCATGCATTTCCTAGGAAACCTACTCAATTAACAGTTTACACTGTTTCAAAAAGTTCTTTAATGTTCCTAACAGCAATAAACACAGTCCAGAAACCCTCTGAGGAGAATATGGGGTTGATCCCCAAGGAATAAATAGTTAAACCAGCTGACTGTATACAATGTTATTGTGCTATAAAATGTCAAATAAGGTCTTTTATGAAAGCTTGTAGTGTAATGTCCCTATGTTTTATGTAAGTCACATCTTTCCAGGAGTTACATACAATCCCACTAGTTATCAGCTGAAAAGCAAGTTCCACTTATTCCAGGAGATGGGTCTTTTCTCTTTGCAAGAGACAGTGGGTGACTGCACATCAGGGGAGAAAGGGGCTGAGAATGGTTAAATGAACCGATTATAGGAAGTGCCTGTGAGGCATGTCTTACTGGAACAACTGTTACTTTACTACCCAGCAGACATCAGTGTGTAATTAATACGTTTATCTTTCTCATCTCCTTGGTAGCCTTATGGATATGTTGTGATGAGCAGGGAAGGGGAAAGGACAGAGAAATGAACAAAAAGATGCTGTAACCATCACTGTCCTAAGGAACCCATTCTGATGAACTACAATCAGAAATCAGCCCTGAGGAGTTTGACTGTAGCACTGGATGGTGTATAAAAAGTATGCCTGCTCCTATCCATCCATGCAGTGTAGGCTTTTTGCAGGATGAAGTGGCATATGACCTTGATGGCAGATTACACTGGTAATTCGCAGCAGGTTTACTCATTACCCTGTGTGTTTAAACCAAAATCAAGAAAAGCAGTGGTGTGTCCTTCGTCACCTACAGGCAGTCCCCGACTTACGCGGATCCGACTTATGTTGGATCCGTAGTTACAAACGGGGCTTTTCTCGCCCCGGAGGACTCAGGCGGCGGGACCGCCCGGACGCGCCGCAGTCCCACTGCCTGCGTCCTCCGCGGCTTTGCTCCGCGTCTCCCTGGTCTGCTGGGGGAGCCCCCCCAGCAGACTAGGGAGACGCAGAGCGGCTTTTCTCACCGCGGGGTTCCCTCACCCCATTCGTAAGTAGGGATCCGACATAAGTCGGATCCACGTAACCCGGGGACTGCCTGTAATTGCATTTGTAATACAATGGATCTCAGAAGTATTGCATTTAGCTCAGTACAGTTTAATACATTGCAGAAGAGGACACTCCCCACTATTATAGCAACACTTCTCTAGTTTGGTGCATTCCCACCCTCAATAGATGGAAACAGAGGTAGAAAGAGGGTCAAATTGCAACTTCAGCTACATCAATTGTGCAGCTGAAGTCGAAATAGCTTAACTCAGCGTTTGGTGCTGTCTACACAGCAGGAAGTTGAAAGAAGAACACTCTCCCTTCAGCTTCCCTTACCCCATGTGAAATGAGGGTTACAGGAGTCGGAGTAAGAAGTCCTCCAGCTTGACATTATTTTGAAATACAGGCTTGTAGTGTAGACATGCTCCTTGTTATTTTGGAATAACATCAGTTATTCCAAAATAATGTTGTTGTGTAGACGTACCCATAGTGAAATTCATGTTTAGTGTATCTGCCATCCCCATTTCTGTGACTCAGGAATCGTTTGTTGCAAATTGGTAAAGTGCATAGAAGATACATAGGAGTTTACGGGGATCCCATAGATGACTGGTGCTTCCCCATAATGGGGGGACACTAGCTAAGGGGGAAGACATGTGACCATCCCATGTGTCTCTCCTTCAGTGACTCCCCTCCCACTTTGTGTTACCCAGCCCCATGCCACATGAGGGTGAGGATTCTATGTCCTTCTTTCTCCTGCACCTCTCTCCCACCGCATTTGCTACTTTCTCTGCCCTTGGCAGTTGGGCAGAAATCAGGACACAGCTGTTTCTGCCTAAAAGGGACTGAATGGAAGGTGAGAGAGAGAGAGAGAGAGTGTGTGTGTGTGTGGTTGTGCCCACAAAAGCTCATGATACCATCTACATGTTTTGTTAGTCTCTAAGGCTCATCTAAACTACATCCTCTTCCGAAAGAGGAATGTAAATGAGGCTGATCAAACATGCAAATGAAGTGCAGATTTACCAATCTTGTGCTTCATTTGCATAATTGCGGGCGAGCGCTTTTTCGAAAAAGGGTTTTTCGAAAAAGAAACTTCAGTCTAGAAGGAATTCTTTTAAAAAAAAACAACCCTTTTTTGAAAGAGCCTGTACTCCTGAAAAAATGAGGTGTATGGGCTTTTTTGAAAAAGGGCTTTTTTATTGAAAGAACCCCATCTCAACTGCGCTTTGTTTTTTGAAAAACCCTTTTTCGAAAAAGCATTCTCCCACTATTATGCAAATGAAGCACAAGATTTGTAAATCTGCACTTCATTTACATTTTCAGTCGGGCTCATTTACATTTCTCTTTCAGAAGAGGAATTTAGTTTAGACGAGCCCTAAGGTGCAGCAGGACCATTCGTTGTTTTTTAACATTTTTATGTATGTGAGAGTGAGCCTCCAAATCAGACTCTCTTATGCAGAAGCAGCTGACAAATGTGTTGTTTAGTTGGGATAATAATGCTTCCTTTTCTGGCTGATCATATGTTTCACAGTGTAAATCGAATTGCATTACTTAACCTGATGCTAATGAAGATGATGACTTCACGTAAGATCAACAAGAAATGTTTTATCCCAAAACAGCATGTTTCTATGAGTAAAGACAATAAATATTGGGAGTATAATGGGAATATTATGATATACCTGAATCCTTCACCAAGGAGACAAAACTGTCAGGATGTTTAGCCTTACAAAAGGAGGGTGACAACCAATGTTCCCTCTAATCTTTTCTATGTGTTGATTATTTCCATCCATGTGCAGAATACATTTTTATGTGTATCAAGGCATTTGCGAATAGGGTTGCCAGATGGTTTAACAAAAAATACCGTACCACCCAAAAAAACCAGGGAAGAAATTCTGTTAAGAAAAAAAAAAACAGCAAAAGTTGTTGAGCAAAAAGAAAAAAAAAAGGGATTGACTAGGGCCGAAATACAGTCGTGGCCATTTAATTCCCAGCATGAGCAAAAAGAAAAAAAAAAGGGATTGAGTAGGGCCGAAATACAGTCGCGGCCCTTTAGTTCCCAGCCTGCTCCATCCTCCCCTTGCCCCAGCCAGCCCAAGCTGTGCTGCGTGTCCCAACCACCCTTCCACAGACACCTGAGCTGGGAAAAACAGAAAATGTTCTGAATTTTTTTACTGGATGGAAGGCGCAAATACCGGTGGCTGTCCAATTCAGTACTGGACACCTGGCAACCCTATGTGTGAAGGTGTACCACTAGCAGAAGCAAAATCCTAGATGTGGGAAATCTGCTAATCAGCTGGAGAGCATTTGAATCTCTCTTTGAGTGGCTGCACAGGCGCACAGCTTACAGAGAATATTGGTGCCAGCCAACATGGCTGAAAAACACTGAAGACTTCATTAAACAATACAGTATCCTGATTGGGGGGAGGGGGAGAGTAGGGTGTCCAATTCCATCCTGAAGCCCTTCCCCCTCCTGCCATCCCCTTGCCATCTCCTCTCCCTGTCACTCTGTTACCTGAGGACTGGGCCTCAGGGATTACTTGGGGAGCCTGGCACAGGGTGGTCCCCCAGCAGTAGGGTCCCCCTGCACTCCCTTTTTGAAGGCAGACAATTGTAGAACAATTGTAGAACAATCAGAAGTGTTAAACTGAATGTAAAGAAATGAAACCAAGATAGGAACATAGTAGGGGTATCAATAACAGTAAACACTGTGATTGGGATCATTACAGTGTTTCCGAGCATTAAAATTCTGAAAATATAGAATACAGACATAACGATATTTAGTATATTTCAGAAATACAAATTGCAGTTTTTTTTCAATGATCGATGGCAGTGGTAGGCTTCAAATTTGTTTAAAATTGTAAATACAGGGCATCTCTGCTATTAGTTCGCCCCATATATATCCGTTTCATACTTAAATCGTGTGCAACACAAACCAAACAACCACAAACAAAAACCCCAACCAATTTGCGCAAATGGAAGTCAGCTGCAGGAGAAAAAAAATCACCACTTTGGGTGTAAGTCCAAGTTTTTTGGAACAGAACTTGGACTTGTAGCGAGGACAGCCGGTACATCAATACAATGTGTTCAACTCCTGTCTACAGCTATCAGGGGGTAGGGAAACGAAAGTTTAGCGTTTCATTTTAATTGTGGAAAACACTGGTTTTTATGAGCAGCTAATGCTGGGGTTCTGCAGTCCCGGGCCAGTAGGCTGTGTGGGGTGCCTGTTGTCACACCCAGCCGCGCCTTTCCAACGCTTTGACCGGCCCCTTCTCAACTCCCTCGTGCTCTGCTAAGGAAACGCCTCCCCGTGCCGGACCCACAGGCAGAGGCGCTGTGGTGGAAAGGGCGGGGCGGCGGGTCT